TTGTTGTGCTGGAATTTTTTTTTTAAAAAATTGCCAGAATCTACCATCTGCTGCTGTTTTTATCTAGTCTGCTCAGCCACATTTCTTCCATTAATTGTCATCCTGCAATATAATTAATTAATTTCCAAGACGTTTCTGACTGGATGAAATCACTAAACTAAAGATGGTGTCGACTCTGCTGGCAGTGCTTGTTTCTAAAGCGAACTCTTCCCAGTAAGTCAGCACTGCTGCAAGTGTGGCTTAGAGTATGGTGTGCGTGCCCACAGAGGCCAGAGGAGGGTCAAGTCCCCTAGAACAGCAGGGGCTCTTAACTGCTGGGGCATCTCTTCAGCCTCTTGTGTAAAAGTTTGAGTACCCTCATCTTCACGTCCAACATGGTACCCACTATCTACCTGTATTTAGAGTTAATATATTCGAATTAGTTCAATGTATTTAATTTAAATTCAATCAGAATTTTAATTTATTTACTGAATGAGCCACACTGCAAGCGAGCGCTCATTAGCCACATGTGCCTGTGCCCAGGGGCTGACATGCTGTGCAGGTAGAGAACATTCCATTACTGTATCAAGAGCTATTGAGTCTGGATAGAGAGAAGGATTGCCACCGCCTAGAGCTCCAGGCACTCCACGACTGCACTCTAACTAACGTTTTAGATATGTATTTCTCTACGTTGCTCATACCTGAGCTGCGTGCCCTGAATTTCTTTATGTATTTCTGAGCCTCAACTTGATTCTCTCAGCTACAATTCAATTCCCTTGTTTTGCATTTAGTGAAATATTCCCGAACCATTGAGACTCCATTTAAATATAGCATCCATAAAAGCCACTGAGTCCTAATGGGTTAAGTACTTCCTTCTTCGGTCCTCTTTCCTGCATTGTACCTTATCTGTGAACCTTTCGGATCATCTACTCTTGCCTTCAAATCAGTCTCCATGATTGTCTCCCTATGCAGCTTGCCATAGCGCTGTGTACTTAATAAATACTCTAAAATGACAACCTGAGGGATTTCAAATATTAGTCCTATCTTATGAGTATCTGTAAACCCATTGCTTGATGTGAACTGGGTTTTAAAATTTATTTTATCCATTATTTTCTCTGATTATTTTTGCCGTTGGTTTGAAACAGGGCCTCAGCATGCAGCCCTGGATAGCCTGGATCTTGCTATGTAGACCAGGCTGGTCTTGAACTCACAGAAATCAACCTCTGTCTCCCAGGTGCAGGAGAAAAGCATGTGACACATTATCATTGTTGAACCTCATCAACACTGACTGGGGGCAGTAGGGTCAACTCATCACCTTGCACCACAGCCACACGCTTTTCTGGAGCTGGGGCTGGGGTGTTTGAGTTACCTGCCTTTGCCATTCTCTCTCATGCCAGCAGCGGATGAATGAGATGCAAGTTAAACCGAAGCACATGGACAGTGTCTATAATCCCTGGTCACTGCTGCTGGGGGCTAGGAACGATTGTTAAGACCATGTGTTTGCTTCCCCAGAAACCTACCCATCGCTACATTGCCATTATTTATAACCAAAAGAAGTTTGGCATCCTTTAGTCTATTTCAAATGCTAAATTCCAAATAGATAAGCAGGGGTCCTCACCCTCTCATTCTGGGAGACGCAGCACTGGGCGCAGCTTGTGCCTTTGGTGTTTTGAATGGCAATTCCTCTTCTACAGCATTCTCATTTATATCTCAGAAAACGACAGGATTATTTGTGAAAATCATTTCCTATCAATAAAGTGCTGGACATCCTAATGATGGAATTACACCATGCAGAAGTCGTTTCTGCTTATTTCTACTGCCCTGAGCAAACACGTTTAAAAGAAGATGCTTCCTAATGTGGCCCTGGTAGCTTCTTGACAGTCATCCTGACATCTTGGTCTCTGTCATCCAACGAGTGGGAAATGAGAGCACCCAGTGCTCATACTGGAGTTCACATATTCAATAAATCCTCTTCAAACTTATTCTGAGCTCCTCGCCACCCGGCTGTCAAGTAACCGCACCACTGACCTGGCTGCTTCTGGTTTGCCTAGATATCTTCATTGGGGCGGCCTCCTGTTACCAGCTCCCTTGGGACAATGGACTGGCTAGTTGACTCTTCCATCACCTACCACTTACTGATCATCAGTTTTAGTCCAAGTGTGTGCTATGCTTTGAGCAAATAAAGTCATAGTCATGTGACAAAATGATCATGGTCTCCGTCCTACAGCAAGACGTCCATGCAGTACGGGGCCATGTAGGGGAGCAGAAAAGCTATGCCATTGTCTAACCTCCTTGCTCCTTTCTTACTCAGATACCCAGGTCCACAAGCTATTCACTAAACTGCATATTTCTCCTTCAATTAGAGTTCTTGAGCACCAGGGGAAGGAGGAGATCATCCTCAGTTACATGATGAGTCTGGTTACACGAGACCCTGTCTAAAAATCTCAAATAATAAAATCACAAAAAATAAGATGAAAGGACACTGTAACCTCTGTCTCACTGAGTTCTTGTGAGGAATTAAACTGATACGTGCAGAGTTGATTTTCTTTCTCATTTTTAAAATTAAATTGTTTGTTTTTACCAAGACAGGACATCACTATGTGGTTCCAGTTATTCTGGAACTCACTGTGTAGATCAGGCTGGCCTCAGTCTCACAGGGATCACCTGCCTCTGCCACCCAAGTGCTGGGATTAAAGGTGTGTACCATTATGCCTGGCTGCTGAGTTGAGTTTAACATGATTTCTTACCTCTAAATTACATTTCATTGCCTCCTGAATGCCTAATTCTAAACATTGTTTTAAGATTCTGGTTCTAACATCTTCTGCGCCCTCCCCCACGTGATGAGCTCATATAAGGTTGATTTGTTTCCATGGACACCTGGACCCGATGCCTCCTTGTCTCAGCTGAGTCAATCCTTCCCATCTGGATCACATTCTCCACCACACACAGCTAAGTTCTTCCTGCTTCAACAAACTAGATGAACACAACTATTTCATTGTTCACCCTAATATTTCCTTGTTTTATTCACCATGAAATAACTGTTTTCCATAAAGCCCCAACATTTCATTTGAAGCTATAAAGAGATTGTGTTTTTGTGAGCTGTGATATTTCGAGGACTAGGACAGCAATAACTGGAATCTGGGCATGGAGAACTGGAACTGTGACCTCGGTTTGCATTTTGAACTTGGGTGGCAAAGTTTACACTGAGATGAAAAGAAGCCCATGGGCTATGGAGAAGGGGCGGCTGGCCGCTTTAGTTAGCTCTCACTCTGACAAGATGCCCAAGAGGAACAACTTCAGGAAGAAAAGATTCGACTCATCTCACATTTCAGAGGGTTGTTTGGTCCTGTGAGCTTAGGTAGAAGGTCATGGCAGTGGGCGCCTGAGGGGGGAGTTGTCCACTTCCTGACAGCTGGGAGCCGAGAGAGGATGCAGACGTGGCCAGGAATAGCACAGCCCCAAGACACACCTAAGGATTTCTAGTTTCCACTTACTTTCGCCTAAGAAAGCTGGGTCATGTATTAAAGCCAATTAAAACATTAACAATTTACTACTCATAAAAACTTCATGCTTTAAGACCTCATGACTAACTTTAAAGTGGCCATTTTCAATCTGTAGCTGCCTTGGCTTTTGGTTCTTGGTTTTGTTAGCTGACTTCTTTTTAAAGCATCTTTCCAAAGAATTGAGTACTTGGAAAGATGTGTCTCTTCGGAGCTTCAGAGTGCTTAAATTATTGAAGAAAGAATGGATTTCACTGGTAACGTCACTTGCTTCATCCACCATCAGATCGCTCAGGCAGTGAAAAAAATGTTAAATATTCATAAATAAGGAACACTTTCTGAGTCAACAATTTGGTCCTGGTGTCAGGTTTGCTTCATAGGCGTCTGAGAGTGCATAATGAATTAAATCATTCATTATCGAACAGTATAGCTTCATGCTTGTGTTTGTGGATGTTTGGTGCAGTGTTCTGAGATCCAAAAACGCTCATATTCTCTGCATGTTGTGTATGACTTGATGGTAAACCCTTATTACACCCATGGTCCCCAACAAGCAGGGCAAGGAGGTGCTACAATGACAGCAGTGGTTGGCTATTTATAGCTTTGCCAGTACCACCACCTGTACCTTCTTTCGTAGGCGTGGCCTTAGTCTCCATGTCCCCACTAACATACACACAAAAGTGAAATAAAGTACATATGTATCTAACGGCTCCTTGAGCAACCCTGCCCTTTTCACCTGACTCACACTGCACTCTAATGTGGTGACACAATGCACTCTTTCTATTTGCATCCTTGTATTGTTCTGCACTCAGACGCTTGCCTTCTTACAAACCCACCATTCCTGCCTCCTTTGTCTTGTGGAGTCAGTGAGATGGGAGCTCCAGCAGCAAAGCTTGCCAGGGACTACTGCAGCACTGAGGTCAAAGGGCTCACATCCAAGAACAAGGTGTAACGGTGAACTGGGCAGACCCAGCCCACAGGGTACCATCAGGTATGGCAGTGGACAGATCCAGTCCACAGGGCACCCCCAGGTATGGCAGTGGACAGACCCAGTCGACAGGGCACCCCCAGGTATGGCAGTGGGCAGACCCAGTCCACAGGGCACCCCCAGGAATGGCAGTAGGCAGACCCAGTCCACAGGGCACCCCCAGGGATGGCAGTGGGCAGACCCAGCCCACAGGGTACCATCAGGGATGGCAGTGGGCAAACCCAGGCCACAGGGCACCACCAGGGATGGCAAGGAGGTTTCAGACTTGAGCACTTACTTCCTCAGAGGGGTCCCTGACTCACTCCATTCTAAGAGAGGATATCAGAAGTCAGGGCACTGGTAATGACCACAGAAAAGTGACAATTCTGCCATGACAGAAATGGAA